GCCGAGTCTTCATTTATTCACTCTAATTTAAGGTTTCGTGTGCCAGTAATACATTTTAATGGTGTTACAAGGTCTCTTTCTATAAGTCTATAATATATAACTAAACTATTGTTGTATGTAAATAAATAAGGGTTTTAAAATGTTTAAGAAGCTTCATTTAAAATTAAATTAAAACACAGAGCCCCCTGGACCGGTGGCCAGGACCCGGGCAGTGTGAGTGCCACTGAAAATCAGCTAGCGTGCCACCTTCGGCACGCGTGCCATAGGTTACCTACCCCTGGTCTAAAGCTACAGCCCCAGCCTGTGTGGCCACTAGACCACTGATCTGATTTCAAAGTGGTTTTTAAGATGTCTGCATATCACATATTCCACACACTCTATCAGACAGATCACATAGCTGTGTGGGAAGGGACCGAGTAAAAAACGTCAGCATTCATAGTATTGAGCAATGTTCTCATTCTTGCCTTCATCTCTTTCTCCAGCCATTCTTTCTTCTGTGCTTTCTTAGTTTGATGCTTGCTTTTGTTCTCATTCTTTTATTCATTCTTTCATGCTCGCACTCTTTGCCTTTGCTAACATTCATCCTTTCACGCTGTCTTTTTGCTTGGCTTCATTCATTCTTTCATGCCCTCTTTCTTCCATCCCCCCTGTTTTTGTCTCAGGAATTTCATACGTTCCTGGTTCATTCATGAGTCAGTTCTTCTGACCTGTGCCATGAATGAAGCTGGCAGTGCCGCTGGGGCTGGATTGCTCACGCTCTGGGTCACAGGATCCTGGGAAGGTCAGAGCGGCCGTCCTGATTCATTTGTCTCCAAAGGAGGAATGTAGGAGACGTTGCAGTGAATAGGGGCAGGTCACCGTAAGAATGCGAGCGCTAGGTTTGTTCTGACGCATTCTCCTTGCGGGCGTGCTGCTCTCCTCACTGTCAGACACATGTTGCCTTCCCTTTCTCTAATGGGCAGCGAGGCAGAGAGGAGCTCCTCTTGGGAGATGGAAATTCACAGCCAGAAGCACGAGGAGGCAGCTCTCAGTGAAGGAAGCCAGTTTGCTATTTCACCCATTAAACTGTCCTTGGATTGGCACAGGAGGCTTCCTGGCTACCCCCAAAACAACCGCACTCACCAAGGAGTTAGCGTCCCCTGTTGAGGGGCCCCAGGAGATTTGCATTACAAGAGGATTTGAGCAGGGGCTGTGCAAAAGCTTCTGCACCAGAGGTGAGACCATGGATTTAGTTCATCAACAGATTGATAATGGGGGGATGGGGAGAGACGTTTGCCAAGTGCTGCCAACTGTGTGCAATATCCCCAGTAAAATCTGAGTTATGCAGGAGGGAGCTGTGCATGCCACTGCCTCCCTAGTGCAAGGAGAGCCAGGTGTGCAGTACACTTTTGGGAGAGGGAGGAGACATGTACACAATGCAGATTGCATGTGACAAGTACTTGTGCACAGCCCAGCTTCTGCTCCTGCTAGGGCGCCCAGGATAGGAAGATTGTGCAAGAACCTTGTACGCAGCACAGACACTCTCATGTCACAAGGTCTATAGGCCTGACAGAGCACCCCTCAAGTAAGCAGAGCCAGGCATGTATTTGCAGCCCCTCTTGTGTGAGGAGAACGGTCTGCACTGGGGAGTCTGTTCTGTGCAAAAAGGACTGTATACACAGTGCAGCTTCTCATGTGGAAAATGGGCTGTGAGGTAGAAAAGCTGGCAGGCTGTGCCATGCACTTCTCAAACCAGGAGGGCTGGTGTGTATGAAGTAGTGTCTCCCTACCAAGTGAGTTGGCATGCACACTGCAGCCATTTGAGCCCTGGGAGGGCTAGCATGCATGGCACAGCCTCCCTTGTGCAAGAAGAGCCGTGCGTGCACTGCCGTGTTCCCGCGTGGAGCCGCTGGCATGCGCAGTGCAGCCGGCCTCATGTGAGTTGAGCTCTTCTCTTCCAGTTTGCCCTGAAGTTCTATTTCTTTTTTGGGGGAGAGGAATGTTATTTATTAATATCTTTGAGTCTTGTGGTTTTAAGAGTTTCCACCTGGCTGCCTCTCCTCAGCTCCCTCCCTGAGCCTGGGCTGTGAGTTCATTACAGACGCTTTTAGTTGCAGCCCCGGCTCCCGCAGCATTGTCACCTGAGCGGAAAAGCTTGAAAATAGGTCATTGTGCTTGGCTGAGCTGATACGAGCCCCACACGGTACAGCTGCTTCTTGCCTTCTCAGAACTCGTTCACCACGAGTCTCCTTTGCCATGATTAGTCCTCTGCTAAATGCCTCGCGGCACAATCATCACTGGTATGATGCCGCTACATACGTTTCGCTATCAGCGGGCGACGTGCCTCTGGGCATCCTACCTGTGGGCATGAGGCCCAAGGAGAAGAAGCTAGAAATGTAATAACAGTGAAAAATTATCCCACTGGAGCCCATCCCCAGGGAATGCTCGGCATCCGCACTCTGACCCCCAGCGGATGCCAGCTGCCTGCGTTTTGAGCTCTCTTACATCCCAGGTTGTTGGGGGTGCCTTGAATCAAAATACCAAACCATCTCTGAGGCACAGTGGTGCTTGTATGGAAAAATGAGCAGGCCTTCTTAAGTTATAGCACATGGAAGAGCTGTGTGATCCTTGACATGGCTGCAGGAACCCACTCTCATAAAACCTCACCCCCGTCTTACTTCTGTTAGTGCAGCCAGCTCTGGGGAGGGGCAGTTTCATCGAGTTGGAGGCTGAGCTGCCTTTGCACCAAGGCCCTGGAGGCTGAGGAGATTCTGTCACTCTTGCAGAGCTGGTGGCTACTGACCCACTGGCCAAGGCAGTCCAAGCTCAGCTTCCCCAATCCCTGCCTCTTTTGGAAAGAAATGACTCTCCTTGCTGGAGTCCCATGAGAAGTACTATAGAGTTGAGTGTCAGTGAACAAGCACCTAAATGCTACAGTTTGTACCTTATAAAGACTGTTGAGAACCTTTAAAATGCTGCTGGAACCTAAGGAAATCTGCCAAACAAATGGAGTGTCAAGCCCAGCGGAACTGGCTAAACCAGATTTCGTCACCCCTTTGCCATTTCTACTAGCTCCACATTTCCCAAAGTGTGGGGCATGCTCCTCTGGGCGGGGGACAAAGGACTATACGGGGGTGGCACAGACAGGCCTCTCAGCTGCCCTCCAGGGTCTTAGCTTTGATTTTATGGAGAAAAAAGCAAGTCTGCAGCTGTTACATCTGTGAAGAAAACCTTCAAAACAAGAAGTGAGTGCAAGAAAGGAGAGGAAGTGTCACATGCTGAAGTAACAGAGGGGTAGCTGTGTTAGTCTGAATCTGAATCGTCAGGTAGAAATCGACCTCTCGGGGATTGATTTATCGCGTCCCGTTGGGACGCGACAATCAATCCCCGAATCGACGCTCTTACTCCACCAGCGGAGGTGGGAGTAAGCACCATCGACGGGAAGCCGCAGAGGTCGATTTTGCCGCCGTCCCTACAGCGGGGTAAGTCGGCTGCGATACGTCAAATTCAGCTACGCTATTCGCGTAGCTGAACTTGCGTATCTTAAATCGACCCCCCCCCATAGTGTAGATGTAGCTAAGACTAACAGAAGTATTGGAGCATAAGCTTTCGTGGGTGAATGCCCACTTCATCAGACGCAAGACTGAATGAAGTGTGTAAAGCAGCCTTTCGCAAAGCGTGTGGAGAAGGGGTATGAAGGAATAGCCAGTAGGGAGCAGGAGACGTACAAATTATGATGTGCCGACTTTAACCCCAACATGGCAGAGTTGCAAGGGGCAGGGGGAGGGGGAGGTGAAGTTGGTCTCACTTGCTTGAAGGGGAGCTCAGCTTTCACCAATTTGGAGCCAAAGTAGAAAGGAAGTAGGCATAGAGGGGTGTTTCTTTCCACAGTGTCTTAGACTCTGGCAACAAGAGTTATCATTGGGGCTTGGTCAGTGCTTAATTTGTGCAAGGGCTGAGCCCCGGCACCTCTGGGCTTGGCAGTTGATAGCCCCGGCACCTCTGGGCTTGCCACGTGAGTTATGAAAGTAAAAAATTGCTTGAGCCCCAGCACCTCTTTCATTACAAATAAGCACTGGGCTCAGTGCAGGGAAACAATGCACTGGAAGAGCTTTTTATTTTTAAATGTTACATCTGCAGAAGTGGCTGCTACCATGAACCTGCTAATGATTATCCAGAGGAAAACTTCTCCCGCTCAGGGCCTGAGTGAGGAGGTGTGAGGAAGTACGGATGTTAAGGGGGATGGATGTATGAATGAATGTTGATAGATGTGCATGCAGAGACAACGGGCTGAATTGCTGGTGTATAAGAGAGGGATGGATGAATGGACAGGTTGTGGATGGATTATAGGGGGTGAGTAGGAGGAGGAGTGGCAGTGAGTGAATGTATTGGGTCACTGCATGGGTCAGTGTGTGAGCAATGGACAGATGACAGGAAATAGATGAAGAAATAAATACATGGCTGTTCATAGGAATTACTCACATGCTGCAGAATCCGTAGGAAACTCTGCTGGCGTCACTGTCTGCCTTGGTAGGTTGCTTCATGAGCCCACCCTATGTCCCTTCAGAGAGAGTGTTATCGTGGGCTTGGTGCTCAAGGAGTTTGTGTTCCTTTCCCCTTAGCTGTGTGGTGGACGAGATGGACTTCTCAGGCATGGAGCTGGATGAAGCTTTGCGGAAATTCCAGGCCCACATCCGTGTGCAGGGAGAGGCTCAGAAGGTGGAACGGCTAATTGAGGCCTTCAGGTAGGAGAGCCGTCGCTGCAGTGCGCCCGCACAGCCCTGCTGGCTGTGAGACACCGACTGTTTACACGGAGGAAAATAAGAGCTGGGACATGCGGGTGGCAGGAAACAGGCAGAGTAAAAGAGTGACTGGAGCGAGAGTGTTGTTTGCAGTGTTGTTGTAGCCGTGCTGGTCCCAGGATACTAGCGAGACAAGGTGGGTGAGGTAATATCTTCTATTGGACCAGCTTCTGTTGGTGAGAGAGACAAGCTATTGAGCTACACAGAGCACTTCTTCGGGTCTTGGGAAAGGTATGCAGCGTGTCACAGCTAAATACAAGGTGGAACAGATTGTTTAGCCTAAGGAGTTAGCCCGTGATGCAAGAGACCATTCAAGGTGAAGTGGGTGGTTAACACTTCTGCAGCTGTAGGACAAAGGAGAGGGAGTGACAGAGCTAAACCTCCCTTTGAAGGAAGGGTAATTCCTGAGGCAGGCTAATGGGTAAATCCCATCTGTCCTGCAGGCACAGAGATGTCTGTCTCACAGGAACTCAGTGGTATTCATGGTGCAGAGTGGGAAATCTCTTGGAGGACTGAGGCAGTTACAGGTTTCTAGGACTGCACAGCATCCTGGGGCCAGAGTGAGATGGTCCCTTACATGGGCTGTGCAGCGGGGAGAGCACACAAGGAACCTCCCCACCCCTGCATGTGTGACCCACACACAAGGAGTAGCCATAATGGCACTGGGGCTTCTCTTTCAGCACATACCTGTGGGTACTGTGCCCCGAAACAGAGAAGTAGTAGGTGGGCCCTGGCTTCACCCCCACCCCTGCACCAGCCACGCTTAGGGAAGCAGGGTACACCAGCCTGTGGAGTCCCTCTGGGACACAGTTGCATCCTGAGCTCCCTGTGGAGCAGTAGAGCTGATGCTTAGGTAGGACAATTTGCCCTTGGTGCGTAAGTTGTGCCTTGGGAGAACAGCCAGATACTCCCAGTTTGTGTGAGATGAAGGCAAGTGTGGTTGTAAAGGAGTGATTTGCTCCTTCGTACTGAGGTCCAGTTGAGGGGGAGCAGTCTGGGCCCTGCCAAGTGCACATCTGGGGTAGACTGGCCTTTGATTTCCACTCTGGGGTCTCCATAGTATGTCTGGGCATCCCTCCCACTACAGCCAGCGGTACTGTATGTGTAACCCGGACGTGGTCCAGCAGTTCCATAACCCGGACACCATTTTCATCCTGGCCTTCGCGATCATCCTCCTCAACACGGACATGTACAGCCCCAACATCAAACCCGACAGGAAGATGATGCTGGAGGACTTCATCCGGAACCTGAGAGGTGAGGGTGCTGCCCCAGGTAGGCATAACTTCTGCTGCTCCAAATTCTGTGTGCTAGGGCTGAAGCCAAAGACAAACTGAGGCTTCTGTAACCGGGGCTGCTGCTCTCTGTGAATCAGAGTGGCAGAAGCTTGAGTTGGAAAAGACCTGTTAGGTCCTAGCTAGTCCATCACCCAGTGGATCAGTGCAGAATTGTCCTCTACAGTATATTCTCTAGCAATATGTCCAGCCCACTTTTAAAAGACTCAAAGGGTGGGGTTTCCACCACTTTTCTTGAGAGATATTTACATAGTTTAATAGATATCACAGTTCAGAAGTTTTCTCTGATATTGAAATTTTCCTTTGCTTGATTTCATCCTAGTTACATCCTTTTCGATCTCCCGGAACACCTCTTTTCCCATCTTGGTACTTCAAATATTTGGACAAGATGTCCGGATAGCCTAAATCTCCCCTTCCTTACTTGCATGCTA